TAATCGGAGATAAAAAAGACCAACCAAAATTTTGTGAAAAACGCGGAGTAGAATTTGTTGATTCTCGGATATGTAGATATCAAATGGGGTATATCCAATTAGCATGTCCTGTAACCCATGTGTGGTATTTGAAACGTCTTCCTAGTTATATCGCGAGCCTTTTAGATAAACCTCTTAAAGAATTAGAGAATCTAGTATACCGCGATGTGTGATTTGATAAAAAATCTTATTGTACAGATTTTGAATGATAAACTGTCATTCCATTCAATTAAATGGGAATGTCCTATAGCTGGCATGTCTCTTGGGATGAGTAACATGAAGCTCAGAATTCATGGGTGTATTGAATACTCCCCAATGAAAAAGGGAATTGGTCTATGGTCAATTCAGGAACAAATAACTATTTACTGTATGTACCTTGTGAAAAAAAAAATACTTTTTTGTGGAATTCATTATTCCATCTCTTTTTTTTTAAAGAACTCAAATTATGTTCAAAGAATAAAATATATCATGATTGCAGAAGTTTATCTATCGCATATAGGCTTTAAGACATCGTGGCAGACCCGTCGAGGTGACGTCTTGACCTAAAAGATCGAACGGTATGATACATAGATAAAGAAATCTCTTATGAATTCGAGGATATTCCTTTTTTATTAAGAATTTCATTTTAGAGGATTCCTCGTTCAAAGGGAGGTAGACTACTCAAGAATTTTACATTTTATTTCTGTCTTAATTTCGAATTGGATAAAAAATTTAGAAAAAAAAGAAGAATGTATTAATGAAATGTTGCTTGGTCTTTATTGATAACTTGAGTAAAGAGTAAACCTTTTTGATTTTAGATTAGAGGTTTTCCAAAATTGGAAAGCGGAAACCCCTTTCTTTATCTTTAATTGTGTGCAAATACTTTAGCCGGATGAGAGGAAACCCTCATGTCCGATTTTAAAGGGGGTGATCCATCTTATTGGATCCTATCCAAATTTTTCTTTTGCTAGGCCCGTAGTTAAAAAACCAACTTTCTTACGATTACGAGGTTCATTCGAATATGAAATCCAATCCTGGAAAGACAGTATCCCACTCTTTTTTGATACTCAAGGTTTCGATACATTTCGAAATAGAGAAATTTCTAGTGGAACGGGTGCTATACGACAACAATTAGTTGATTTGGATTTAAGAATTATTATGGATTCTTCGTTGCTAGAATGGAAAGAATTAGGAAAAGAGGGGTCCAATGACAAATGGAAAAATCAAAAAGTTCGAAGAAGAAAGAATTTTTTGGTTCGACGCATGAGATTAGCTAAGCATTTTCTCCTAACAAATATAGAACCAGAATGGATGGTTTTATGTCTCTTACCAGTTCTTCCTCCCGAATTGAGACCAATTATTCAAATAGATGGCGGTAAACTAATGAGTTCGGATATTAATAAACTCTATAAAATAGTTATCTTTCGGAACAATACTCTTATTGAGCTATTAAGAACAAGTGGATTTACACCAGCGAAATTAGTAATGTGTCAAGAAAAATTGGTACAAGAAGCCGTGGATGCACTTCTTGATAATGGAATCCGCGGACAACCGATGAGGGACGGTCATAAGAAAGTTTACAAATCGTTTTCCGATATAATTTCGGGCAAAGAGGGAAGATTTCGAGAGACTCTTCTTGGAAAATGAGTTGATTATTCGGGGCGTTCTGTTATTGCCGTAGGTTCATTACTTTCATTACATCGATGTGGATTGCCCCCCGAAATAGCAATAGAGCTATTTCAGACATTTCTAATTCGTGGTTTAATTCGAAACCATATTGCTTCGAACATAGGAGTTGCTAAGAGTCAAATCCGGGAAAAAGAACCAACTGTATGGGAAATACTTCACGAAGTTATGCGGGGACATCCAGTATTGCTGAATAGAGCGCCTACTTTGCATAGATTGGGCATACAGGCATTTCAACCCATTTTAGTAGAAGGACATGCTATTTGTTTACATCCATTGGTGTGTAAGGGATTCAACGCAGACTTTGATGGGGATCAAATGGCTGTTCATGTGCCTTTATCTTTGGAGGCTCAAGCAGAAGCTCATTTACTTATGTTTTCTACTACGAATCTCTTGTCTCCGACTATTGGGGATCCTATTTCTGTACCAACTCAAGATATGCTTATTGGACTTTATGTATTAACTAGCGGAAATCGTCGAGGTATTTGTGCAAACAGGTATAATTGGTTTAATTGCAGAAATTCTCAAAATGAAAAAATGAGCAATAATAACTTTAAGAACTTGAAGTATATGAAAAAAAAGAACCCTGTTTTTGCAATTCCTATGATGCAATTGGAGCTTATAGACAGAAAAGAATAAATTTGGATAGTCCTTTTTGGCTCCGGTGGCAAATACATCAATGCATTATGTCTTCAAGAGAAGTTCCTATCGAAGTTCACTATGAATCTTTTGGTACCTATTATGAGATTTATGAGGATTATTTAGTAATAAGAAGTATAAAAAAAGAAATTTGTTGTATATACATTCAAACCACTATTGGTCATATTTCTTTTTATCGAGAAATCGAAGAAGCTATACAAGGTTTTTCTCGAGCCGATTCATCATATAGTATCTAATCATATAGATGGTTAGTGTTGGTATCCACGTTAAGTAAATTTAGGATACTGGTGTAAATTCAGGTCAACTAGCATCTTTTCAATTTTTTACGTAAATAAACATAAAGAAAATGGAGTTTTCCAATCATTCACTCAAATCTATTGTCGTCGAACCGAATACCACTGAGTGGAATATGGAGGGACTTATGGCAGGAGGGACCAATCTAGTCTTTCACAATAACGTGATAGGTGGAACTGCCATTAAACGACTTATTAGCAGATTAATAGATCATTTCGGAATGGCATATACATCACACATCCTAGATCAAGTAAAGACTCTAGGATTCCATCAAGCTACTGCTACATCTATTTCATTAGGAATTGATTATCTTTTAACAATACCTTCTAAAGGATGGCTAGTCCAAGATGCTGAACAACAAAGTCCCGTTTTGGAAAAACATAATCATTATGGGAATGTCCATGCGGTAGAAAAATTACGCCAATCCATTGATATATGGTATGCTACAAGCGAATATTTGCGACAACAAATGACTCCAATTTTAGGATGACTGACCCCTTTAATCTAGTCCATATAATGTCTTTTTCAGGAGCTAGAGGAAATGCATCTCAAGTACACCAATTAGTCGGAATGAGAGGATTAATGTCAGATCCACAAGGACAAATGATTGATTACCCATTCAAAGCAATTTTCGTGAAGGACTGTCTTTAACAGAATATATAATTTCTTGCTACGGAGCCCGTAAACGGGTTGTAGATACTGCTGTACGAACATCAGATGCTAGATATCTTACACGTCGACTTGTTGAAGTGGTTCAACACATTGTTGTACGGCGAACAGATTGCGGTACCATCTGTGGGATTTCTGTAAACATCCGAAATGGAATGATGCCAAAAAGAATTTTGATACAAACATTAAATGGTCGTGTAGTAGCAGACAATATATATATAGGTTCACGGTGCATTGTTGTTAGAAATCAAGATATTAGAATTGGACTTATCAATCGATTCATAACTTTTCAAACACAACCCATATTTATTCGAACCCCCTTTACCTGTAGGAATACGTCGTGGATCTGCCAATTGTGTTATGGGCGGAGTCCTATTCATGGGGACCTGGTAGAATTGGGAGAAGCTGTAGGCATTATTGCTGGTCAATCTATTGGAGAACCGGGAACTCAACTAACATTAAGAACTTTTCATACTGGTGGAGTAATCACAGGGGGTACTGCTGAATATGTGCGAGCCCCCTCGAATGGAAAGATAAAATGGAATGAGGATTTAGTTCACCCTACACGTACACGTCATGGATATCCTGCTTTTATATGTAATATAGACTTGCATGTAACTATAGAAAGTTACAATATTATACATAACGTCATTATTCCACCAAAAAGTTTTCTATTAGTTAAAAATGATCAATATGTAAAATCAGAACAAGTGATTGCGGAGATCCTCGCGGGAACATATACTTTTAATTTGAAAGAGAGGGTTCGACAACATATTTATTCTGACTCAGAAGGGGAAATGCATTGGAGTACCGATGTGTACCATGCATCAGAATTTATGGATAGTAATGTACATATCTTACCAAAAACAAGTCATTTATGGATATTGTTAGGAAAGTCGTGCAGGTCTAATACAACCCATTTTTTACTTCACAAGGATCAAGATCAAATTACCATGGATTCACTTTCGAATGGGAAAAAAATATTTTGAATCTTGTAGAAAGGAATAATCAAGTAAAACATAAATTCTTTGGTTTCCATACTTTAGGTACAAAAGAAAAGCGGATCATGGATTATTCAATATTTAATCCAATCATATATATGGATCATTCTTATTTAATGTATCCTGCTATTTTTCACGATACTTTTTATTTCTTGGCGAAAAGGCGAAGAAATCGATTTCTTATTCCATTTCCACTCCAATTGATTCAAGAACGAAAGAACGAACTAATGTCCCCTTCCGGTGTCTCCATTGAAATACCTATCAATGGTATTTTTCCTAGAAATAGTATTTTTGCTTATTTCGATCATCCTCAACCCATTTTTCAAAAAGAAGATTTCATTGAGTATTGAGGAAGAAAAAAATTAAAGCCAAACTATCCAATTCAAGTAGGTTCCTTTTTTTTGATTCCCGAAGAAGTGCATATTTTACCCCAATCTTCTTCCCTAATGGTACGGAATAATAGTCTTGTTGGAAGAGGAACACCAATCACTTTCAATATAAGAAGTCGAGTAGGCGGATTGGTCCGATTAGAAAAGAAAAAAAAATAGAATTAAAAATATTTTCTGGAAATATCCATTTTCCCATAGAGATTGATAAGATATCAAGACACAGTCCCATCTTTATACCACCCGGAACGGTAAAAAAATAAAAATGCAAGGAATCAAAAAAAAATAAAGATGGGATCTATGTCCAACGGATCGCAACTACAAAAAAAAATGCAAGGAATAAAAAAAAATTAAAGATGGGATCTATGTCCAACGGATCGCAACTACAAAAAAAAAATGCAAGGAATCAAAAAAAATTAAAGATGGGATCTATGTCCAATGGATCGCAACTACAAAAAAAAAAAAGAAAAAAAAATTGTTTTGGTTCGACCTGTAATTTTATATGAAATACCGGACACTATCCCTTTTGTAAAACTTTTTCCCCAAGATCTATTCCAGGAAAAGGATAATCTGGAACTAAAAGTTGTCAATTCTATTGGAAAATCCATTCGGGAAATTTCTGACACAAGGATTCCATTCCTTCGGACTTGTTTAGTCTTCCATTGGGATTACGGCAAAAAAAGTTCTTCGATTGAGGAGGCCCCCGCTTCCTTTATTAAAGTAAGTACAAATGGTTTGATTGAGTATTTTCTAAGAATTTACTTAGTAAAATCGAATACTTCATATATCAGAAAAAGAAATGACCCATCTGGTTTAGGATTGATTGGGGATAACAAATCGGATCGAATCAATCCATTTTTTCTATTCATTCCAAGGGAAAAATTCAATAATCACTTAGCCAAAATCACGGAACTATTCGTATGTTGTTGAATAGAAATAAAGAATGCCGATCTTGGATAATTTTGTCATCATCTAATTGTTTTCAAATGAGACCATTCAACAATGGAAAATCTCACAATGAGATAAAAAAAGATCCTATAATTTCAATTAAGAAGAATAATAATTCATTCGGCCCTTTAGGAATAGTTGCAAATTTATATTCACTTTATCATTTAATAACTCATAATCATATCTCAATAATAAAAATTTTGCAACTTGACAAATTATAGGAAATTTTTCAAGTAATGAAATATTATTTCATGGACGAAAATGAGAAAATTTGTAAACCCGATCTATACAGTAATATCGTTTTGAATCCATTCCATTTAAATTGATTTCTTCTCCATTATTTTTCTTGTGAAAAAACGTTTCCAATAATAAGTCTTGGACAATTTATTTGTGAAAATATATGTATAGCTCAAATGAAAAATGGACCACACCTAAAATTAAAATCGGGTCAAGTTATAACAGTTCAAATGGATTCTGTAATAATAAGATCGGCTAATCCTTATTTGGCGACTCCAGAATCAACCATTCACGGCCATTATGGGGAGATCCTTTCTCAAGGAGATATTTTAGTTACATTCCTATATGAAAAAACGAGATCCAGTGATATAACACAAGGTCTTCCAAAAGTGGAACAGATATTCGAAATACGTTCGATTGCTTCAATATCCATGAATCTAAAAAAAATAATTGATGCTTGGAACGAGTGTATAACAAAAATTCTCGGCATTCCTTGGGGATTCTTGATTGGTGCTGAGCTAACTATAGCTCAAAGTCGTATTTTTTTGGTTAATAAAATCCAAAAGGTTTATCGATCCCAGGGAGTACACATCGATAATAGACATATCGAGATTATTGTGCGTCAAATAACATCCAAAGTCTTGGTTTCAGAAGATGGAATGTCTAATGTATTTTTACCTGGCGAACTAATTGGATTATTGCGAGCAGAACGAACGGGGCGTGCCTTGGAAGAAGCCATTTGTTACCGAGCTTTATTATTGGGAGTAACAAAAACATCTCTGAATACTCAAAGTTTCATATCCGAAGCGAGTTTTAAAGAAACTGCTAGAGTTTTAGAAAAAGCCTCTCTTCGGGGTCGTATTGATTGGTTGAAAGGTCTTAAAGAGAATGTTGTTTTAGGGGGAATGATACCCGTTGGTACCGGATTCAAAAGAATAATGCACCGCTCACGGTTAAGGCAACATAACAAGATTAGCCGGAAAAAAAATTATTCGAAGTCGAAATTAGAAATCTTTTGTTCCATTACAGAAAATTATTTAATTTTTCTTATTTCAGAGAATTTATGTGATACATTCGAAATATAGGATTAAATATAGTATTAAATGCTTCCTAACAGCGGATTCGACTCATCCATCCCCTGAAATATTTAAATGCAGTCATTGGATTTGGTAATTAAAGTATATTAAAAAATAATAAGAAATAGAAATCAAAGAATGGCCTGATTCTATATTAACGGTCGATCGTCTATAAAAGAGAAGGTTCCATCGGAACAATTATTTATTAGGATACTCGGTCTCTCTTTTTTTCCTTCATTTTTTAAACAAAGTGTGGGGATAAATGACAAAAAGATATTGGACCATAACTTTGGAAGAGATGCGGAAAGCTGGGGTTCATTTTGGCCATGAGACTAGGAAATGGAATCCTCGAATGGCACCTTTTATATCGGCAAAACGTAAAGGTAATCATATTACAAATCTTACTAAAACTGCTTGTTTTTTATCAGAAGCTTGTGATTTGGCTTTTGATGCAGCAAGCAAAGGAAAACAATTTTTAATTGTTGGTACCAAAAGAAAAGTTGCCTATTCAGTAAGACGGGCTGCAATAAGAGCTCGATGTCATTATGTTAATAAAAAATGGCTCGGAGGTATGTTAACGAATTGGTATACTACAGAAATGAGACTTCGTAAGTTCAGGGACTTG